TGAGTTCTGTGAGTCCTTCCGGTGAATTACTGAACCTCAAAGTTGCAACTGGTATCAGAAATCATAGCAGGCTTAGAAATTGTGCCCCTCTTACTCTTCACACCCATATAGGCAAAAATCTCAGTAATTTTTAAAAGTATAAATCTTCCTTAGACCAAAAAGTTTGATAATCATTAATACAGGTTTATATTTCTAAAATATCAAGAATCATCTCCTCCCAATAACTAAAGCCCATAAGAGCTCAACAGGTGATTAGAAACAAGATGAACATTCAAAACTCAAGTTATCTACATGCCAGCAATAATGAATTAGGCAATGTCGTCATCATCAGCACCATCATCCAACAAAAACTACGAAGTGCCTAGAAATAAATCAAAAAAGAAAGAAGTAAAACCTGAATAAAAAAAGAAGATAAAAATGCATAGTAAAATCTGTTTATGGATCTGTATAATATTTATCTAACTGGAAAGATGAAAAGACTATTATAGAGCTACCAGTTGTCTCTATATCAATCTATGAATTACATCCAATCCCAATCAGAGTTTCAATGAAAGTTTTTGAAAGAAATATCAGAAACTAATTCTAAATTTCCTCTGGAAAGCAAAAAGTACAGTATTATGCAAAGTAAAACATTTTGAAGCAGAAAAAAATTGAAATAATGGTCCTACTATGTACAATATCACATTGTAAATTTTTTGCGAATAAAAGAGTAGACTGATATTTCAGGTCTTTTCTTGCCTTGTGGATCTAACATTCTATAAATTCTGAGAATTAAAGCTATAAACTACTCTCTAACCTTTCTTTCTTCCTATCATCCCTGCAGAAGTCAAGGGCCACGTTTATGACTATGGGAGTGTTTACAAATTGGCTTCCATAATTCTTCCCATCTCTGACTTCATGCTCCTTGGCAATTGGACTTTGCCTTTCTTCTCATCAAGATGCAGAGCCTGTCTCTCTACCATTGAAGCTGGGCCTGGTCTTGTGACTTGCTTTGTCCAATGGGACACTGGCAAATGTGATGCAAGTGGCATCTTGAAAAGCGCTTGCGCTTTGCTGCTTTCTTCTCTTGCTGCTTTTGGAGTACAGCTGTCATAATAAGAAACCTGGGCCAACCTGCTAGATGTAAGGAACACATGTCTCAGCTGCCTCCATCACACCAGCCAATTCCAAGTCATGTGAATGAGGCCATCAGAAACATACCCTCCCGCTACCTGACCCCCAGCTAACCACAGCCAAGAGAGCCCAGAAAAGGTCAGCAAAGAACTGCCCTGTTGAGTCCACCATCTAAATTGCCTACCAACAAAATCATGAGCAAATAAATAATAACAGCTTTAAGTCACTAAGTTTTGGGGTGGTCTATTGTGAACAGAAGCCAAATAATAACCAGTTTCCTGTGAGCACCCTAAATAGCAGTCCCTTTCAAAAAAAATACTATTTGTTACACTAGATTAATTTTTGCAAAAATAAAAAAATTTCAATTGACAATGAACAAGGGGCTTCATTTGACCATTTAAGCGGTATATATCTGTTGTCTATTTCTAGAGCTTACTAATGGTTGTTTAAAAAATAATATGTAATATGCAAGTTTGTGATTGATTAATTTACTTGCAGATAATTTGTTCTGCCAGAATATAATCATATGTTTTAATTTAGGCACATGTCAAGAATTAAGGTATGTTTTAGTTCCTAAAAGTGCTGTAATAAATTTTGGCTTAACTATTCTATCAGAACTTTGCTAGAAGAAGACAACCATACAATGAACTGAAAATTATGGGATTTAATTCTTCCACTTGTAAAACACATAAAAAACCCCAGAATGATTAGTCATACATATAAAAGTTTATATTTTCCCACATATATCTGTGAGGCATGAACACATTTTGAGAAAGGAAAGATAAACAAAGCGCCTAGTGAACGGGTATAGAGAAAGAAGAGGGTGTGGTTGTTCCTTAATACAGGAAGAATGATCTTGTTACAAGACCGCAAAGCACAAGGGAACAAGATTCAGAAAACAGGTTTATATCATGGCCCACACTCCTTGTGGGCAGGAAGGTTTACTTTTTAGTTCACTGCCCTATACCTTGTATCTAGAGTGTCACTTGGCACATTGTAAGCACTCAATAAACACTGATTGAATGAATGGATGAATCAATCAGTGAATGAGTTGATGAATCAAAGATCTCTTGAGACAGTTCTTATTCTAACAAGAGGCAATGTTTTTATGATTTATTTTCATTTGTCATGTTGCTTTTTGAAACAGAGTAATTTTACAGTTTGAATTATTTTAGCCTTAGAAAAAGATCACTTCATGAGAATTTGAGGTAGACTGAGGTAGATTGAGGTAGGGAGGTCATAGTCCTCTGAAACATAGGTAACGGTGGTAGCTATCAAAGGTGTGAGACTACTCTTTCTTATTTCTTCTTTAGGGTTCTGAATATTACTAAACAACATTGAAATTTGACAAGAAGTAATATATATTCATTGGTAAAATTTCAGAAACATATAATTATATTGTTCTTTAGAGCATTGGACTTTAACCACCAGACATATCCACAACTGAGCATCATTTCTGCTTTGGCCCAGCTGCTTCATTCTTTCTGCAGCTGTTAGTAATTACCCTCTGCTCTTCCTTAGAAGTGTATCAACTTCCAACCTGGGTCGGGGAGTTCATCTTCCAGTGTCATTTCTTTTTGCCTTATCATACTAAGGAACAAGAGGAACTAAAGAGCCTCTTGATGAGGGTGAAAGAGAGTGAAAAAGCTGGCTTAAAACTCAACATTCAAAAAAATAAGATCATGGCATCTAATCCCATCACTTCGTGGCAAATAGAAGGGGAAAAAGTGGAAATGGTGACAGATTTTATTTTCTTGGGCTCCAAAATCACCGCAGATGGTGACTGCAGCCATGAAATTAAATGACTCTTGCTCCTTGGAAGAGAAGCTATGGCCAACCTAGACAGCATATTAAAAAGCAGAGATATTACTTCGCTGACAAAGGCCCATCTAGTTAAAGCTATGGTTTTTCCAGTAGTCACGCATGGGTATGAGATTTGGACCATAAAGAAGGCTGAGTGCTGAAGAATTGATGCTTTCAAACTGTGGTGTTGGAGAAGATTCTTGAGAGTCCCTTGGACTACAAGGAGGTCAGACTAATCAATCCTAAAGAAAATCAACCCTGAATATTCATTTCAAGGACTGATACTAAAGCTTAAGCTCCAAAACTTTGGCCACCTGAGGCGAAGAACCGACTCATTGGAAAAGACTCTGATCCTGGGAAAAATTGAAGGCCAGAGGAGAAGCAGGGGCAGAGTATGAGATGGTTAAATAGCATCACTGACTCAGTGGACATGAACCTGAGCAAACTCCGGGAGACAGTGAAGGACAGGGAAGCTTGCTGCAGACCATATGGTCACAAAGGATTGGACATGTCTTAGTGATTGCACAAGAACAACAATAATTATATAAGAAGGAAAATAATAATTACCTGCAATGCGACATTTTGAGAATCAATGTGGTACAAAAAGTATGACTTCAATCTCTTGACACAAGCAGACCTAGATTGTATATACTCAGCACACACACATGCACTGGTCTCAAGCATTTTCATATTTAGGTGTCCATGTCCAGAAGCTTTATCATTCCATGCTTCTGCTTCTCTTACAATGCCTCTGCCCTTCTATTCTCCCTTCTTGGATTCCTTTCCTGGGCACTTGTTCCTCTGCCCACTGCCCTCTTCTCTCTGCACTTTCTTTGAGTGCATCACTCTTAGAGTCTTAACCATGACCACTCTACAAGTCTGACTCCTGCCTCAAGCTTCATCCCTGAAGCTGGTTTTCTGCAGTGTGCTGCCAAATGGATATTCCTTTTATCCCCAAACACAGCTAGCCCCTGAATCTCTTTCCTGAGGACTGCTAGCCTGAAACCTAGTAGTCCAGTGGTTGACCTTTTCCTTCCCTGAATGCTCCATGTTTGACCCATCAGAGTGATCTGACTTTTTTTTTAACTGAACCTAGCAGTAACTGTTGTCCCTGTCTCTGGTCTTCATGCTTTAAAACCACCATGTACTCTATTCAAGAAGGTGAACTTCTGGAGCCTTCAGCTGGGAGTTTGCAGAGGTTTCCTATCATGGACACGGCAGGATAAAGTCAATGCCTAGAATGACTTTCAAGGCTTCTGTGACGTGGTGTTAGCCCTTCTTTCAAGCCCTATCCTTGTTACTTTCCACTTTACATTTTGTTGGTGACTCAATCACACATATAAACATATGCAATCGTGCGCACACTTGTGCATGCTATGCTGCTCAGTCCCTCCATGCCTTAGGACATGTGGCTCCCTCTGATGGAAATGTCTTCCCCACCATTCTTGCTAATGTCCATTCCTGGCTTGGAGCTGTTATTCCTAGCTCCAAGCTTGTCTTTCTCTCCAAGCATTCCTTAAACCCAGGCTAAGTCATCTGATCCTCCTCCTCTGTGCTCACCATGTGATGCTGAAACGACATGGGTGTCTGTATCCCCATCCTGACTGCCAGCTTGTCCAGGGATGAAAATACATCATACACACAATGGTAGCTCCTCAACAGATATCTGTATAATTGAAGCAGATTCTTTTTGTTCACCCTCCACTCCCCTCCCTTGTTCAGGATTACAGGCATAGGTCTCGGTCATCCTAGGAGCTTACATCAATGTTCACTATAGAAGGATGCTCCAAACAGGCATAACTACTTGACAGGTAAGAGGAGACAAGGGTGAAAATTAAAGGTTAGATGACTGGCACTTTCATAAAAGAGGTATCTGTCAAAAAGTCCTCAAATCTCACTGAAATGTTCCTTATTATGGTACTTGGTAGTTGTGAGAAAATGACTCCATTCTAGTGCCTGAGAACATACAAATATCCTATATTTAAATATAGAAATAAACAGAAAAATTCATACTGATAACCAGAAAATATAAAGGTGTCCATAAAGTCTGGAAATAGATAATAGGAGTTATTTTTTTGTTATAGGTTGAAGATGTCCTTGATGATGTGTGTTTTCACCTGTTTGCAGACTTAACCCTGCTTGCTTAAGGGGAACTCAGTAAAGCTACTGCAGTATATATCAACACCATCGAGAGAAACTGGCTTTGATCCACATTCTAAAACTGGACTTGCAGCACTACCAAATCACCCAAATATAATTTTGACAAATGCCATGTCAAAAAAATGTAGACATATGATTTTCTTAAGGAACCCAAGCTCCCGAAATAAGGTAAGGAAACTTTCAATATGTCAGCAGCCTTTCTTGCTTCTATTGCATGCATATTACACACGGTTTGGAGGTAGCCCTCCAAAATATTAGCTGAAAGCCTTCTCGCAAAGCAAATCTTTCCCACATCCTTCCCTGCAGTTCCTCTTTAAGAGGTGTCAGCATGGCTGAAAGAATGAAGTGGCTGCACATTGTTTGGCAGTGCTATTATGTGCTTAACATTTCCATAACAAAAGTGCCACTCGACTTCTCCCCGATTAATGCGGCTGGAGGGTTCTTGTCGTCCTTTAATAAAACATTGTTGAAATCATTTATTTAGAGCCCCTGGTTACTAGTGGGAGAATGACCATCTTTGTGCCAAAATATAGTGTATACAGTCCACTATTTTGTAGTAGATCATTCTGTTATTTAAGAAATTGATTAAATGGATGCCTTAGAAGGTATTTATGCTAATAGCACATTACTTATGTCATTCAAATAGTCAAGGGTGAAGCTTTTCAACTGTCCAGCAGAAGCAATCTCTCCAATAGAATACAGTAACTTCTGACTTTACTCAACTCACAAAGCTGCAAGACCCACTGGAAGCCCAAGCCTCCTGGAACTGCTCCTGGGCCATGGGCACTGTAACAAGATGCTTCCCAACAACCTTGCTTTGGGGAGCTGGGAGAGACTGGGTCAGCTGACCCTGTTTCCGAAGGTCCTTGGTGTAAGATGTCAGAAACCAAATCATGTGTGCTTTTCTTTTTTACGGGATCAAAAAGGGTCACATGAGGAAGTTGGAGAACTTCCACTGTTGAAACCTGTGAGCTAATCATGCAAAGGTAAAGTTGAAAGTGGGAAGATTTTCAGTGCTGAGTCTGCAGTCTTGGAAAGTTCTCAGGGCACGTTCCTCTCTTTTCATTTTATACAACACAGCATTGCTGGGAGGAATCGGGGCACAAATGCTGGAGTGGTGAGGAAGGAACCTTCCACTCTACATGATTTCTCATGACTCTTCAGTCCGGAGAGACTGCTGGTTCTGAGTTGTCTCCACCCTACTCCCCTAGGAGAGCTGCAGTGTACCCTGACATGTTCTGACATGTGGTGGTCCCTGACATGGGGGCCCCTGAAGCGTGTGGTTTCCTTCCTTAAGGACGTTTGTCAGGACCCTGCCCACGCTAAAGGATGTCTTGCTACTTAGTGCAAGAATTTAGTTCCCTCCGGCCATTTCCCACTTGACACACGTGTATTGCCCGCGTACATTGCTAGATATTGTTGAAAATAAACAGAGACCTTATGTTATGTCCATTGTGGTCATACACAAAAGCGTTGCCGTGTGCTTGGGTGAGCAGTGAAGCCTGAACCTCCTTCCATTTACTGTATGGTCACTGTCAGCTCAATGAACTGCCTCCTTGTTCTCCACCATTGTCCCACACTCCCTTAAACATTTGTCACTGAAGTGCCTCCAAAGACAAATAAACTGTCACAGAGAATGCAAACCTGCTAACAGGGAAATAGGAACGGCCGGGAGGACACAGATTTTCCATGAACTCCAAAAAGGAGTTGCTCTCACCCTGGAAGACTTCTGTTAGAAGTCGGGTGCTTTTTAATACTACCCTGGAAAAGCCAAGGCTCCCTTGCCTTCAGTAATGGTACTTCCAGGCATTCTCCATGAGACATTTGGCCTTCTCAAATGTCCAAAATTCCAAAGGCTCCCCTGAGAGCGTGAGATATTACAGATGTCAACATCTGTAAAAATCTTTTCTGCCCAGGAGCAGATGGCAACCTATAATCCAGGAACCTAACATCTCAGAAACCTGTTCTGGAATTCACTAGGTCTGCACAGGGCTGACGGGGGCTTAGGCTCTAGCGTAGCACTGTTTAAATTAAAATGGACCACCGATCAATGTTCACTTTCTCCAAAGAAGAAAGCAGAAAGCCTCGAGTCCTTGCGCTCCCCAAGAGCGAGTTGTGTTGATTTACTCCAGGCAGATGCTTTTGACAGGACCCTGTAAAATCAAGTCGTGAGTTTATTGTAGCAGTTAATTATCAGGCCTTTTCTAGTGCTAATGCCTTTTACTTCGTACTGGGGAAAACTGGGCCTTTTACTGGGACAAAGACTTAACTTTTAGTCAAGAATGTGTTAAAATAACAGAAGGAGATGATTTAAATATATTTAAGGACAAATGCAGAAGCATTTGCTAACTCTTGGTTTTGTAAAGAAAGCTGATTTCATTTACAAGTCTCTTGGAATACTCTTTGTTCACTTACCAAAGAAACAAAGCTTTCAGCTTTATTTTAACAATATGTTTACTCAACCATTCAGGTGACCCGGTTCTAGCCACACACCACTCTCCTGGGCTGACCTGACACCACAACTATCTCAGGCTTTCTGATGCTATGCATGTATGAATCTTGGTTTTAGATGCACCAAGAAATGCCTGGAAGCCGAGCAAGTTAGAGGCAAAAGAAACTTCCAATGTAGGGGTGGGAGCGACTGGGAGGAAGTTGGAAGGGGGCATAGCTTTGTTAATTACTTCAGGCAGCAGAGAAATCTGGTTATGTTTTCTCAGCACATGTTAATATCATATAAAGAGACACGAGATCTTGCTAATCTGTCGACCCCTCAGACAAAGTTTATTTGTGGTGACTTTTAAACTCCTGACTTGCCTTCCAATCACCGAGTTTAAAATGAAAAGCTTTAAATAAACACCAGGAATAGAAGATAAATAAACTTTTTTTCCCCCTTGCAAGTGCCTAGCTTGGCGAGGTTCAGACTCAAATCCCCAGAGGACAGAGCGCTCTCTTTTGTGTTAATGTTTAAAAGATTTTCCAATGCCGGAGTTTATTCCTACTGCAAACATTTCTATTTACAAGGTCAAGTGTATCAGCACTCGACACAGCTTAAGAGTGTAATTATTTATCTAAGGGCGTTTGAGTGTAGATCAGTAGCTCTGGCAGGAACCCAGCCTTCAGCCCACTGCTAAACAACTCCTCACAACAATATTACAAGTTCTGGTAATTGTTCCTCTCTCCAGTATGTTTACTTTTGCCAGCGGAATGTTTTGTAACAAAATTTTGTACTTTTTCACCCAAAGTGTGAAAATGACTTTGAAGTTGAGTCTCCCAGGTTTCCTAAGACCTATTGGTAACAGATGTTATTGGCATGTTTGATTGTAGGACAAGGTCTTCTAGTAGCCAGAGAGGAGACTCCAGAGGGTGGGGGTGGGGGGGTCCCCAGTGGAAAGGAGGGAGGGTAAAGAGACGTGTGGGTTAGCCCCAAACTATGCCAAGCCTCTCCACAAATGTAAATACCAATGGAGACCAGTCAAATTATATCTTTTTAGCTGCCTCATTTACAGATGTTTAATTGTTCATTAAATTGAAGGCAGAAATAATAGCCCTCATTTCTAGTCTTGAACTGTATTTTAATTTCAGTTGATGGTTGATAGATTCCCACTGGCCCCTCCATCCTGCTTCTCACCCATTATTGGGTTAACCACAATGTGACTCTGGAAAGTAACTACACCATATTCATTATTTAAAACTCTTTACTGATGTACACATTTTAATAAAATCAAATAACCAAAAAAAAAAAAAAATACACAAAACCACAGTTACTTAAAACATAGGATTTTTTTTTAAGTCTATAAAAATACAATGTTTAAGGCAGTTTGGAAATGCATTTATACATTTCTACAATGTTCATAAATTCTCTTGAAAATAAGAATGTTAACTTCAAATCTATAAAATACACTGTACATTTTTAAACTGTTCTAGATAGAGCACACTTCACAATTGATGGTGGTTCTGGATCCCTGGTGACAATTGGATTCTTTACATTTCAGGCAAGAAAGGTGTACCATGGATGTAGATTTAAATTTTTTAATTTCTTTTTAAAAAATAAATTATTCTGAAGCATACAATTTATAAAAATTCTATATACAAAATACAGCAACTGGTAACAAATCCCAGTTTTAATACATTTTATATACGAAGTACCAGGGGTGAGCGCCCTGATAAAAGCAGAGGCAATATATGTTCTCTGCACTTTTGTACATACAATTTCTTGGTGTAAAGAACAAAAATGACAACAAAACAAACATCATAAAGAGGCTTTCATAAATGGCAGTGCAGAGCTCTTTTAAATAAAAACTTGCATTGTTCAACACCACTAGAAACTCTCTAGATAGCATTTTTGGATCCTTAATCCTAAGCAATGTGCTAAGAGATCAGAGTGGTGGCAATGGAATTAAAGTCAAGGGCTCAAAACTATCCAAACTCAGGAAAATTAACCCTTCTCATGACCGCCACCCTTACCTCCCGCACCCCACCCCCCCTACAAAAACAATTCTGGGCGCGGAAACCAAGAGTAAATCAGTTACGATTGCAATGTCCTCACTGGCCACAATAAAAGTCGATACCGGCACCCCCCTCCCTCCAGGAGAAATACTAATAAACAGTCCCTATGCAAATATAAATCCTTCTTCAAAACTCCCGCTCCAAACCCAGTCCCTTGAAACTCCTAAGGCCCCTCTGGTCATCATCCTCTCTTCGGAGTCCAGAAACACGGTTCTGTCCCCCTGCCAGGCCTGTCTCATGCCGGGGGTCTGGAGCTAGGCAGGCTTCTGCGGGGAGTTTCTGGAGCCACGAATGGGGGCAGGGAAGGATGTCCAAAAAGTCCTGCTCCGGAGAGGAGGCGAGGATCGTGCGACAAGTCGAGGGCGGGATATCGGCTAGGCAGAAGCCACCTAAAACACGTTTTGGAAAAAAATCCCCGACCACCCCTGTCCCCGAGCCACAGGTGCCCCGTCGCCGACCCTCCGGTGGCCGACGGCGGGGGGCGCGAGGGCTAAAAGAGCAGCGGGAGCAGCAAGATGGAGGCGAGCAGGGTCCAGGCGCTTCGGGGTGCCGAGTGGCAGCCGCCGCCGCTGCTGCTCCTGCGCCCGGGCCCGTAGGGCAAGTCCCCGCGGCCGCCTGCCGCAGCAGCGCCGCCGCCCGGGCGCGGCGGGTGCGGGACCCCGTCCTCGTCGTCCAGCGGCTGATCGCCGCCCGTGCCCCCGGGGCGCTGCTCGTCGTCGTATTCCTCGTCGTAGTAGTCGTCCAGGCCCCCGTCCGAGCCGCTGCTGCCCGGGCCATTGCCCAGTTCGGCGCCGAAGCACAGGCGGGCCATGTTCTCCTTGACCGACTCGCAGATGGGCCGTTCCAGGCCGTCGCACACGCAGTCGTTGAGCAGTGCCGCCTTGGGCATGGCCAGCATGTCCTCTATGACCGTGCGGCACTCGTCGGTACAGCGCAGCCCGTTGAAGAGCTTGCCGCAGTAGGTCAGGTAGCGGCTGAGCGCCAGGTTGCAGCGGCTGTCGCGGTCACAGCGCCTCCGGGCCTCGGTGCAGCCCAAGACCCCGCCCGCGCCCGCGCCGGGGCCGCCTGCGCCGCCGCCGCTCGTCCGGGGCAGGCACGGCTCAATGGCGCGCTTGGTGGACTTGCAGTTCTCGTCCTGCGCACAGTCACAGTCCTCCAAGGCGGGCCCGCGACGCGTGTGGTTGAGCTGAATGAGGGCCGAGATGCAGTGGCTCGGGCAGCGCCAGCGCGAAGAGAAGGAGGCGGCCGAGGCCGGGAAGGCGGCAGCTGCGGCGGCGGCCCCCGGCACGTCGCTCCCGCCGCGCTGCGCCAGCACCGGCGCGCACGCCTCGGCGTACTGGTTGTAGGCGTAGCTGCACTCCGGCTCCCCCTGGCACTGCAGCAGCGCCTGCCAGCAGATGAGGCGGCGGCCGTGCGCCAGCCCCGAGCCCCGCGGCGCCGAGCCCAGCAGCTGCAGCAGCGCCATCAGGCACAGCCAGGCGCCCGGCACGGTTCCCCTGCGGGCCCCGCCGCCGCCGCCCAGCAGCCCTGTGACCATCGCGGGCAGCGGCGGCCGCCGGGCGAGGAGCGGAAAGGAGACGAGGCGCGGGGAGCGGCGGACGGAGAGCCGGCGGAAAAGTTTGCCCCAGTCCTGCCAACTTCTTGCATGAGTGTTTTCATAAATCCATTCGCGCCGCCGGCTGTTGCCCCGCTGCTTGCAGAAGGTCGGCTCTCGCTTGGGCTGCGGGGGCTTCCTAGAAGTGCACGGCCGTGGAGAGCCCCTCCGGTCGGCCCCCGGCAGTGGCGGGAGGCGTTCACTGCCGCCCTCGGAGGTTGCGGGCCGCGGGGCCGCGGCGGGGCTGCGGGACCGCGCGGCGCCGCGGGTGCATTTTG